CTCTTTTCTTCTTTGTTCACACACACACACACACACACACACACACACACACACTTGCAGCAGGTCAATGTTTTATCAGCTCTAATGTGCTATTCTCACTCAAACAGAGCTTCCAACTGGTCAGTCTTTCTCAATCTCTGTTTGTGCCCACACTACTGCCGAGGTTGCGGTGTGAATCTGTCATTTTATTGGTTGATAGGTAAACCATTTAAATTCAAAATCAGTTTAATCAGGTGGACCTCGACTTTTTCAGATCCGAGTCCTTTCAAAACCTGAATGAATTAATAATAATTAATTCCCTTACAAATTAAATTTAAGTAATCAAGTCATTACAAGTGCGTTAGGGACATCCAAGGGGTTAAGAGCTTTTACGGACAGTGTATTTATTGGCTTTGTGTGTCATCCACAGCAGGGCACGTGTCCATTAATCACAGAGGTGCTTTCTGAACCCTGTAACTCCAGTCCAGCCTAGTGGGAGTGTGACTGCGGCAGCATTACTCACACACACATGCATCAACATTGAAATATCTCGTACATTCAGAGGGACCCACAGTGCAGAGTTCAGAATATAGTCAATGCGTCTCCCATGATGCCGTTTTATTGTATTATTATTGTTGTTGGTAGTTGTAGAAATGATCCTTTCTGCTCCTTTCCTCTCCTTTCTGCTCTCTTCCACCCTTCATGCTCCCTCTAGACTCCTTGTCCTACTTGTGCTGTTTTGCAGTCACACACACACACACACTCAGACAGTGCCGTGGAGGAGCTTCAGGTCTACGCCAGTGTGAAATATTAAATTTTGCTGGATTAGGGAGCTCGGAGAGGAAATCAAACACAGACACAAACGTCCTTCGCATATGGACATACATACAGTACACAACCATCACTATTGTTGGGGAATGTTACTTTTGAAGACCTTATGTAATCAGAATATGAGTTTTGTTGATTTTAGTCCATGTGTGTTAGCTTTGAGGCTAATCTGTATGCTAATTTCCTCTGAAATGTTGCTTTTAACCATTAAAAACTGACTGAAATATTAATGATTCATCCTGCGCCACAGATTTAAGTCCAATCAGATTGACTCTAGAATGAGATTTTTTTATTTTGGCGTTATCTAATGCTCACTTAAATTTAATCCTTAAAAATAACTATTTTAATACTCTGCATTATAATCTAGGCATAAATTGACTTTGATCATTTTAATATGATTGATTTTGTTTTAGTGCTATATTTTTTTGGGGAAAGTAGTTTAACATGAAGATAATAATTGGTCATTTGTTATTGATTTTGAATGTACAGTACACCATATACAAGATTTACATTTTCAAATAATTAATGTTACTTTTCTGTTCATTAGGGATGTTTGCTAAGACAAGTCTCACTATTAATACAGTTTTATTCATATTTTGTGAGTATGTAACATGTTAAAACATTTTACTCCAACACTAACCACCAGGGGTGTAACGGTACACAAACATGACGGTTCGGTACGTACCTCAGTTTGGATGTCACGGTTCAGTACGGTTTCGGCACAGCAGTGGGGAAACTAAACATAAAAATTGCTTTTTTTTTTATTAAACAGTGGTTTATTGAACAAATTTCTCTTTTTCTTTAAATAAATTGAATTATAATTAAAATTTCCTTAGGGATAAAAATCTACCTTAGCTTATGCTCTAAACTATAGGGAGCCCTTTTACATTACTATAAGGTTACAAGTAACATCAGAGCACAAGCTTAAATTTAATTATTATTTATTTGTAAATATAATAATCAACACTCAACTTAAAGAAATGTATGCAAAACATGTAAATTGCACATAATGCAGTTTTTAAATTAACTTCTAAATTATAAAAATTTTATTTGTTGTTGAAATTTATTAATTTACACAGTGCCTCTCATAACTCATTTCATAACAGATTTATTTAAACATACATTAAATAATTAAGACATCACTAACAGGTAAAGAAAAATATAATGATTATAAAGTCTAATATTTCGCGAAATGCTCTTCTCTGCTCTTCATTTCTCTAGCGAACTAAGCTGTGGACACTGATGACTTGCCTGAGGTAAATGAAATGCTATGTGACATTTTGTTTACAAGCTGCTTTATTGACGTCTTTCCGCGGTCGAAACACTGATTGAGCGATTACATGAGGCATGAGATGTTCATTCATGTTTATTTCACATTAAAACTAGTAGTAAAGAGGTCGCCTGAGGTGTTTATACAGTGATCTGTCACCCCACATTAAAGAGCGGCAAAACGGCATTTATTGTTTGAATTTCCTGAAAAAAATTGACATAATTTGAAAGATGAGACTTTGTTTCTTATCAAAAGTAACAATATAACTGTAAGTTTACAATGAAGTTTCACTCGTGCAGTGGTTAATACAATGCTGTATTTGTTCGGTACACATGCGTACCGAACTGAAAGACCCGTACCGAAAATTTTCGATCCGAATACATGTACCGTTACACTCCTACTAACCACCACAATAATCATAACAACTGTTTAACACCTATCCACAAATTAACATTAATGTGATGTAAACATGCCATGTATTCCTCTCTCTCCTGGCTAACTGCTTCCTTGATGAATGAAAACTATTATGCAGAGTGCTGGGATTTGCTGCGTGACATGCTTCACTTCCTAAATCTTAGAGCCCTGCTATCCAGCCCATCCACGCCCACTATAGATGCCTCTGTGGCACTGATGTTTACTCTGCCCCTCCTCGCAGCTGTGCCCGATTCTTCTCATAAAGAACTTAAGCAGATAATGAGTTAAATCAGGTGCACCAGTGTGCTGCTGAGGGACAGGAAGCACACAAGTCAAATGCCTGTTGGAGGTTCTCTGCATTTGATGTTTAGAGCTTCATTTGTATAGAATGTCTATTGTGGCTCAGCAGCGATGTTTTGGGGATTGTGTATTGATTGTGTTTGGTTAGAATGCCAGTCACAGAGCAGTGCTCCTCTGGTTTCCGTGTATGCACAGACATAAGATGTCTCAGACGTTTGTTCCCAGAGCTCTTCTTATGTTGTCTCGCTATGATTAGTTTTACGCAGCACCTCTTTCTCTTGAAGACTGTAGTTCAGCTACAGAGCTTATAGTTTTGTTCTGTTTTTCAGCTTATATATATCTGACAGAGCGTTATATATTGATATATTTAGATATTTAAAAAATAGTTAAGATGTTTAATTAATTTAATATTTAAAATATTTCTATATTGCAAATTTCAAATATTTCTAGTTTTGTTTAATCTTAGCAGCATAACAATTTGAGTAAAAAGTTCAATGCAAAAATGAAGAATTTCATGATGTAGAAGGAAAATTATTTGTTCAATCAAAGAAAGTACAATTTCATCTTAGTAAAAATTAAAAATGTTTAATGTAAGAACTAAAAAAAACTCAAGGCATGTGTTCACACTGCTTTTTGTTAAATTAACAGGAAACAAAATATTAGATCATTTTAATTTTAATAAAACAATAAGTAGCACATAATAAGTATCTGTGCACAACTTTGAGTGATGAATTCATCATTTGAATCAATTAATTGAAACTGACTATTTGAACTGGTTCATGGAAATTAATCAATGTGTTATTACACATTTTTTTCTATTAATGTTTAAATGAGACACCCTATTATACATCTCTATTTAAATGCTCACATACTAGTCACAAAAAGGTGATAGCGATAACCCAGCCTTAGTTTGTTGAAGTTTATTTAAACAATTTTAGTGGCTCTTATTATCCAGTGTCAGCATTCACAAGTATATATTAAAGTAGAACATAATATGGGAGCTGTCGAATTTTGAATTTTTTTAAGTTTGAATTTTAAGTGGATGATAATGTCTTGTTTGTAGGAGTGCAGTGATCTGGTTTGCCCTGTGGAGCGTCGGCTCAGACTGATGCTGACATAAAGCTAGGTGTGATACAGCCCGGTCACACCGATATCATTTGCTCTCTGGAAGCATGTGAAATTATTGATTGGAACACCAGAGGCTCTAGGCAAATGTTGAACGTATTTACTGAGATTAGTTAAAATTCCTGCACACAACACACAACAGTCAGAAGGGGACAAGCCTATCAATAGATGCGTATGGCACTGCATGAAATGTCTCTAGGAAACCAGTAGCACAACAGACACACTGGGTGAGACCCCGTGATCTTATTTATCCCACAAATACATTCGCCACATTTGGTGGAATATTGAGCATCTTCTCATTTCCATAATAATTGCATTTCTGATATTTAATTCTTTGTCAGCATTCAAAGATGGAGGGCAAAGCTTTTATTAGGCTTGAAACATACTCTGCGGAAACATTAACG